CCTCACCGCTGAGTACCCCCCAAAGCACCCCCGTGTCCATGCGCACCCCTTCTTTGTCAAACATAGGCAAGTGTGAAGTTTCACTTGCAGGTGCAACGTGTCATATCACTGTCATACAGGTGTTGCAGAATACTTTGTTGATGGTATATGTTTCTGACAATGACAGTGATATGACACGTTGCACCTGCAAGTGAAACTTTCACACTTGCCTATGTTTGACAAAGAAGGGGTGCGCGTGAACACGGGGATGACGACTGAACATTAAAAGTTAGTATTTCAATCAATATAAATTAATTCAACAATTCACAAAGGAACAAATAGATAACAATCACCCGACTCTGCAGGCAAAAAAAAAAAGATCAAATGCAATAAATGAAATAAAAAATGTGAACTCCAATTAAAAATATAAATTCACCATGGCTACGATCCGGACCCCCGGAAAGGGATCCGGAGCCTCCGGGATCCGGGATCCGGTACCACTTTCCGGTAACCGGTCCAGATGGAGGCCCCCCAGGCCAACGGCAAATTTTATTTTGGGCGGCCCAGGGCGTTTTTTCACGCCTTGGGCCGCCCAAGAAAAATTGCCCCTTATTTTTTCAGCCTTTTCGCAACCGTCCGGAAGGGGCGGAAAATATGTTGGTGAACTTGGTTACTTTTTTTTTTTTTTCGAATCGGAGGGGGGGCAGTTCACCGCCGCCATCTCTCTCTCTCTCTCCTGTCTCTTATACACATCTAGATGTGTATAAGAGACAGCTACAATACTGAACTACCTAGGGCCAGTCAGTTTGCTGATGATATCTCAAGGGCATCACCGTTTTTTTATTTTTTTTATATTTTTTAAATGCTGTGTAGCCAATTCAGTCAGGAAGCAAGGACAATCATTGGGTGGACTGCGTCACCTCAGGAGTGTGAAAGCAAAAACAAAAAAAAAAAAAAAAAAAAAAAAAAAAAAACAAGAGCTGCAGTGCCTGCCACTGCCTGCAGTGACTGCAGCCTCCACAATGTCAGATAATATGATGCATTAACTGTCCGAATATAGGCTGAGATAGTGTTTTTTTAACTTTTTTTTTTTTTTTTTTTTTTTTGAATTAGACTGAGAAAGTTGGAACATGGGAACCCTGACAGAGGGCAAAAGAGCTCTGTATTTGTTTTCTGGGGTAAGTACGTTCATGTCACCTTTCGAGTATCGATCGAATGCGGAGAGAAAAAAAAAACACGTGTCGGCAAAGAAAACCGTGCCGAGTTTGAAAAGGCACGGCCGTGGTGTCAGACAGGGTGTCATATTTACAGGGGTTGCCCGAGGGGGTGTCAGAGGTGGAAACAAAAAAAAAAAAAAAAAAAAAAAAAAGCCCAACGGATACTTTCGAAACGAAATTGCTCATTTCGAGTTGGTGACTGGTTTCTTTGCCGGCGTGAGTTTTTTCTGCTGCGTCCGCGGTTTTTTTTTTTTTTTTTGAAAAACCGTCAGCATCAGGTAATACTAATACCTGTGTTCCTTCACAGGCCCAATTCGGGACCCTTTTTTTTTGGGGGGGGGGGGGGGGGGAGAGGGGGGGCGCACCCGTACAATGAAGATAATGAGGTAGTTTTTTTTTTGTTTTTTTTTTTTTTAATGAGAAAA